AGTTTGGTGAGGTTGGTTAATTCTACAAGATTGACGAATATTCTCCAAATCATGTTTGTTTGGCAATGAAGTTCCATTCTGATCGAGCGTGGCGTGCGAATTCATTTTTGAATGCAAGTTTGAATTGGATATGATTTGAAGTTTAAGTTTTTCATCTAAATAACCATTTGTTTTGAGTTCGAGTAAACCAAGTGGAATTTGAATTCTTAAGTATTTATTTTGTTCAAGAATTTGATTTGAAGTTTGAAAGATAAGGCGCATGGTTTTACTTGAAATACAAATTACAAAGGCGTTGGATTTTCTTGAGGTTCAAGTTACCAAGCAAGATATATGTTCAAATTATACAAATAGGGGATTTCATATTTCATCAAGATTCAAGCCTCACTCTTTTCTCAAGAGGCATTTTTAAGTTCATGGGCCACAGAGAAGAATCCAAATTATGCTCGTAATTTAAATTGTATCAAAGAATATTCAAATTTTGCAAGTATTGTAGAAACAAATTCAAGTTGAATCAAGAATGAAAGATTATAACAAAGCTGCATTATTTGAATTTTACAAAATAAAGCGGAATCCGTCGTTTAAATTTACAAGTGAATTGGAATGCGCTTTACAAGTTTCTAAACCACATAATTCAAATTACAAGATTCGCGATGTTACTAAATTCCTAACAATATACTAAGCTACAGGGGAATTTCTTCATCTTCAAGTCTTGACCAATTACTTCAAGTCACTCTTCCCCGATTCTCCTCATTGCCCAAGTTGCTCCTACATGAAACAAGAAAGAAAAATTAGCAAGCATGTGAAAAATTCAGGAACTGTTTGTTTAGAACGAATTTCTTCTCATCATTAGGGTTTGCTCAAAGAATCAGTATACAATTTAGGGAATTCACCATTTAACCATTTTTCCAAAAGCCCAACAAAGGCTTCATTTATCTTTGCCAATCAGTTTCTAATCATCGGCCCAAAGCAATATTTTCATTGCAAATCACAAAAATATGTATGTTTCTTTTGGTTCACAAAGAAAATACTGTCAAAAACAAAGAGAAAAGAAAACTGCATTGCAGCCTGCATTGCTGCAACAAAAAAACAGTTTGCATCCCAGTAAAAAAGAGAAATACAAGAGGCCAAAATGCTGTCAAGTACAGACTGCATTGCAGCTCTGCATTGCTGTCCAAACCTGCTAACAAAACAGTCCAACAATTGCATAAAATAGGCAACATAAAAACTGCACCAAAAAGATATAACAATAACATGCCCCAAGTGTTCAAACTTGCCAAGCAATTCCCCCCAAAATGTTATCCCACTACTATTATAAAATACACAGATACAGAGAGAATAGAGAGGACCTAATAGCCAGCAGCAACATCACCAAAACAAAAAAACACAGAGTTCATTTTTTCATAACGGTATACAAAAAGAAATCAAGCCTAACAGCAACCAAGCCACATACATAAACAGTTTTGGTAAAAAAAAGGCCAGACATCAAAGAAATCCCCATTATTCTATTCATCATCTCCTTCAAACCATAACCCTTCAGAAAAGTGCCTATTCAGGAATACAGAAAGTTCAAAACAAAGGTTCTCAGAAGTATACTTCCCTGTCAAAGAAAGCGCGGAGTCATTGATAACCTTTGTAAGTCTCCCTTTCCTGCCTCATGAACACACTTTTTTGAATTCTGTAAAAATGAAACAAAATAGAAAATCAGCATACAAAAATAATCAACTATATAAACATAGTTCTGTCTGTTTGATAACCAAATAAAGTAATAATGCAGTAAAAAAATTTCAAAAAATATATAGTATAATTGTCCCTCTTATCTTCACGATCTTCATTTGTTCATCATCCATCCTTAACCTTTCTAACCTCACTCAACCATATTCCACACATCAAACCTCCTTCAACAAACCGAAACCTCCGCCGCACCGGCCAGATCTGGAACCAAATGTTCTACTGACAATGATCCCAAACAAGCGAAGAGGATGAAAGCTTCCGAGGAGGACAATAAGAAATCTGATGATGATTTTAAAAAGTTGTTCCAGAGAGTATTCAACAAGGATGATGAAATGGCCATTATCAAGGGTTTGTTTGAAAACCAGAACCTTCCGCAGAAAAAAGAAGGAGGTTCATCCTAAGGAGTTTAATAATAGAGTGGTAGAAGGTGATGGTGTTGATACATATGGGAGGGGGAGTAATTGTTGATGATGGTGAGGGTTTTGTTCGAGAGAAAGAGGATGATGGTACTGAAGAAAAGAGGGATAACAGAGGAGAAGATAGTGATACGGATGAAAGAGGAAAAAGATTGTTGATTTTTACTTTTTTGTTGTTAATCGCTTTTTTTTTATTATTGGAACTAACAGTAATCAATTCAATCTGCATGTCCCTTTCCCATGAGCCAGCTAGCGCCGCGCCTCTCTCCCAATGATAGTTAGGGTTTTCAACCTTCCCTATCTTTTCTAACATAAACCGGGTTTGTACATGATAAAACTCAAATAAAAAATAATAGAATAGATTTTTTCAATTTTATTTTCTTCTCTTCAAACTCTCTCACAAACAAAAATACCAAAAGACGAAATATACATACCTTCGATCTATTTTCTTTGTAATAAATCATTTTTCTTTAAAAGAATAAAATTTTATTTTTTTCCCACAAACAATAAATACCAAGAACTTTATTTCCATACTTTGTTAATTAATTTTATTTCATAGACTGTTATAATTTTAATTAATCGTTCAATTCAATTTGGTTGTATTGTTTGCTATTTGGACTTTTTTACCTTCGACTCATCCCCATTTGTAAAAAAAATTGTACCCCCATTCCCGAAAACTCTATAATAGCATAGAATTTCAATTTCCGCAATTTACTGTTTTCCTTATACTGTATAGTAATTAGGCGTGTATGGCAAGATTAAAAAACAATCGCTAGATAACCTAATTTCAAAGATAAAATAACTTGAATCAAACACACTTTTCACACGCACACCTCTAGGGTAACCTCGCTCGTTGCCTCAGAAACACAGTCATGTCCCTCGAATATGAGACGCTTTAACAAAGACCCTTCGATAAAAGATCGTAGTCCCTCGATGACCCTCGGTGTTGCCTTTGACAAAATGATCTAGTCCCTTATGAAAATTGCTTAAAGCGTCTCATAAGTTGCTTTCGATGACTATACGATTGACCCGCGTCCGTCCCTTCACATCCAACGATGGGGTTTCTTACCAAATCAATGGTAAGATAGCAACATCTAAAGGAGGAAGAAAAGAACACTGAAGATCTTTCGAGTAGGTAGATTCGCTCCTAGTTACTCGCTTGCTCATGACAAAAACATTTTTACACCGATACTTTCATCTCAAAACATTTTCAAAAAGACAAAACATTTTATATACGTTCTTATAGAGACGAGAACCATTACAAAAATATCTTTTCAAAACCATTTTCAAAAACACATTCCACAAACACATCTTTGAACTATTTTTCGAAACAACACTTTGTACGCGTTCTTATAGAAACGAGAACCATTACAAAGATATTTTCAAAATACTTTCAAGGCCCACACCACAAGCACATTGTCAAGCAAAAACAAGTGATCTAGCAAGTAACTAAGAGCCCGTAGATAACTACGGATGAAAAGGGTGCTAATACCTTCCCTTTTCATAATCTACCCCCGAACCCGAGAAATAATCTCGAAAGGTCTTTCCTGTGCTTTTTTACCATTCCTTTTGGATAAAAGAAAAGTTGGTGACGACTCTTGCTATCCGCACAATTACGATCAAACGCAAAACGACCCGAGTCAGTTCCCCCACCGTATCACAATTGAAAATATAAAAACCTAACAACTAATTACTAACTTAAATAAATATATTATTTTTATAAATATATATTATTAAAGTTAATATACTTTACTTTTTTTCTTTTCTAATAATGGTCTTAAAGAATATAATAAAAATATTAAAAATAGTGTCTAAATACAAAATACTCATATTTTAATTGTCATCAAAAATAGAATCAGATAAATTTTTACGATCTCATTAATAAATTAAAATTAAATAATTATTTAACAAAATAATTTAGGGACAACTCAACTAACATTTTCAATCTTTTATTTAATAGATAATCAAAGATTTAAAAAATAAATATAAATTTTATAAAACTAATAAAATTTTATTGATAATAATTATAAATAAACTTTTTATTTTATTTAACACTAAAAATAAATACACATATTTAACAATTTGAATTAAATATATAAATCAAATATAACTATAAAAAAGACATGAGAATTAAAAAAAATAAAAATTATTTTATTGTTATTTAAATTTTCAAAATTATTTACGAATATCATTCTTAACTTATAAGTTTGTATTTTTCTTTTAAATAAAAATATATTTTTATATGTGATAAATTCATATCACTCTCTCTCTCTATTATAATTCATTATAAAATTATTATAATATAGATTTAATAATAATTTTATTTAAAATATATTTATAAATTTTTACAATTTAATAAGTAAACTTTACAACCGGGCATCGCTCAAATATTAATTTAGTTTATATTTGTTGACATGTTTACGCAAAAACTTGTCTGTTGTTGTCCACGTGTTTTTGACTGAGTATATATGGCTGGGTGATAAGAGATACTAGTAGCATTATTGTTTGTTTATAGTAAGCATTTACATTATTTATATACATATACTTAAGAAAAAACTCTAAAATGACCATTCTTCCTCATCTAGAATACTATTTTCTTCTTATTTTATTTCAATGTACTTAAGAAACAGAATCAATCTCCTAATATAAATACTCTGAATTCATGGTCTTGAAAAGCTGCTCTAATAAATATATGTATAATAAATGACTTCTTCACCTAGAATATTTTATTGTCAAGTGGCAACTCACATAGACAAAGCTCAACCACCTAAGAAAAAATGGCTCCTCTGAATTCATGGTATAGAAAAACTTCTTCTTATTACTTTCTGCAATTGTATCACGAAACAAACCAAAATGACCATTTTTCTGGCCATGCTAGTTATTATATCTATGTCCAAATTATCCTATGGAGCTGATGATACTATTACTCAATCAGATTCACTTTCTGATGGAAGCACCTTGATTTCCAAAGATGAGACCTTCGAGTTGGGTTTCTTCAGTCCCGGTAGTTCCCCAAACCGCTATGTTGGAATTTGGTACAAAAACATCCCTGTTCAAACTGTTGTTTGGGTTGCAAACCGTGATAATCCTATCAAAAACAACAACTCAAGCAAGTTGATCATAAACAAACAAGGTAATCTCGTTCTTCTCAGCAGCAATCAGTCTCTTCTATGGTCAACTAACACAACAAAGAAGTCTTCAACTCCAATTGTTCAGCTTCTGAACAACGGAAATTTAGTGATCAGAGACGAGAAAGACAGTTCAGCTGATGAAGATAGTTTCTTGTGGCAGAGCTTTGATTATCCTACTGATACTATGTTACCTGGAATGAAGTTCGGATGGGACAAGAAAAGTGGTATTAATCGACGTATCACTGCATGGAAGAATTGGGAAGATCCATCATCAGGTGATTTTACTTCTTCATTTGTTAGACTTGACACAAATCCTGAAATAATGTTTTGGAAAGGTTCGGTTGAAATATACAGAATAGGAGCAATGATCGGTGTTATGTCCAGTGGTCTTATGTCTATGGGAGTATCTGGGCTAAGGACTAACCCGCTTTTTAACTACGACTTTGTAAGAAATGAAGAACAAGTTTATTATATGTACACACTTAAAAACAGTTCTGTGATTTCCATAATTGTTTTGAACCAAACGCTTTTGGTTCGTCAACGTCTCATATGGATTCCGGAATCCAAAACATGGAATCTTTACCAGAACCTGCCACAAGATAGGTGTGATGATTATAATGTTTGTGGTGCGAACGGAGTTTGTGTCATTGGTGGATCACCGATTTGTCAGTGTTTAGAAGGATTTAAACCAAAATCGCCTCATCGGTGGAATGCAATGGATTGGACACAGGGTTGTGTAAGAAGTGGAAATTGGACATGTGGAGTCGAGAATAGAGGCGGATTTCGTAGAGTTGTTGGAATGAAGTTGCCGGATACTACAAACTATTGGATTGATGAAAATATGACACTTGATCAATGCAAGATCAAATGTTTGCAGAATTGTTCATGCACAGCTTACTCAGGCTTAGGTAAGGGGAACATTGGTTGTTCCATTTGGTTGGATGATCTTAAAGATTTGAGAGTTACAGATGCTGACTTGGACTTATATGTTCGAACCGATGTTTCAGATATCGGTAAACTTCGCCACTTTTGTAAATACTAATAGTAGTTAAAGAGTTATAGTAATTGTTTGAAAATCACAAGTGCTTTGTTGCAGATGATAAACGTGGGCGCTCAAAAAAGGTTATCTTTGCAGTTTCAGCAATTGTTTCACTAGTTATTGTGACATTGTTGGCTTTCTTCATATATAGAACAAAGATAAAGTATAAAGGTACTTTTTTTTTACCCATACAGCATGTTATATTTCACAAGATTCTATCTATTTTTGAAATGGACACCTTCAATATCTCATAAACATCTTTCACCAACATGATTGAACATTTCTTACAATATATTAGAGTTCAAATGTTCAAATATTTGTTATTACCTGTTTAACTTGCTTAAGTATTTTGGGGCATGGTTATAAATTTTCAAATTATCAAAGATTCTGCTGCATCAACAATATTGCAGTCACAAAATGGGTCACATGCGGCAATTTAAAATCATATTTTGAGATCTTTCTTGTGTACCGCAATTTAAAACTATGTTTCTTTTCTTGTTCAACATAGTCACGTTAATCAATAAGAATATTTTTCATCTATACTATGATTTTTTTTCCCTTGAAATAGTAAACATTGAGTGGAAGGAAGACAGCAGTGAATATGATCATGATGAATTAGAGATTCCTTTCTTTGATCTTACTACAATCTTAAATGCCACAAATAATTTCTCAATTGAGAACAAACTTGGCGAAGGGGGTTTTGGACCGGTATATAAGGTAAGTGACAAATTCCTTGTTTATTATAAAATAAAAAAAAATTATCGTACTTTTGATCAATCAATTAATACAATTTTATATAATTGTACTTAATTAGTTACTAAATAATTTAAATTTTAGAGGCTTTTAATGAATTTTAGTTTAAGGTAACTCTATCCAAATATTTGTGGCAGATAAAAAAGACTTTTTCTGCCAGCTATCTTTAAACTTACACCATTGAATAGAGAAAAAGAAAAACCATCAATCTAATTATCTTGTTAAATTAATTTCATTATACAATATAGGGAAAACTGGTTGATGGCCAAGAAGTTGCAGTTAAAAGGCTATCTTGGAGTTCTGGACAAGGAATAAAAGAATTTAAAAATGAAGTTATATTATGTGCTAAGCTTCAACATCGAAATCTTGTCAAACTTGTTGGTTGTTGCATTGAAAAAGATGAGAAAATGCTGGTTTATGAATACATGTCAAACACAAGCCTTGATTCATTCATTTTTGGTAAGTAACTTTTTCAAAGCTTAGTATTTAACATATTAAAAGTTTGATTGTATTTTTTATTTTATAAGTCCAGAGCTAAATTTATTGAAATTTTTTGACAGATGCAACTCGAAGTAAATCATTAAATTGGCCTTTGCGTTTTAACATCTTACATGGAATTGCACGAGGTCTTCTTTATTTACATCAAGATTCAAGATTTAGAATTATACACCGAGATTTGAAGGCAAGTAATGTTTTATTAGACAAAGACATGAATTCAAAAATTTCAGATTTTGGTCTGGCTAAAATGTGTGGTGGTGATCAAATTGAAGGAAAAACAAATCGAATAATTGGTACATAGTAAGTATATGAAAATACGTCATATTTTTTTCATGATTTGTATTGAGCATTCAATTTATTTTTATTTGTTCTTTTTCAGCGGTTATATGGCGCCTGAATATGCTATTGACGGATTATTCTCCATTAAATCAGATGTATTTAGTTTTGGTGTATTATTGCTAGAAGTTATAAGTGGAATTAAAAATAGAACACATACCTTCCATCGACATGATCACAATCTTATTGGACATGTGAGTACTATTGGAGAAGTGAGAACTATCTAAATATATGTTGGTTTTCCAATATCAAACTAATATATAACAATTTCTTTTAAATTGGTGTAGGCGTGGAGACTGTGGAAAGAGGGAACTATACACACAATGATTGATGAAAACTTGAAGGACACGTGTATTCTATATGAAGCTTTGCGGTGTATTCAAATAGGTCTTTTATGTTTACAACATCATCCAGATGATCGACCAGACATGACATCTGTGCTTGTGATGTTGAAAAGTAGTAATACTTTACCTCAACCACAAGAGCCAAGTTACTTGTTTAAAATAAAATCATTAGAAAGAGAACTTTTTTCTTATGAAAAAGAATCACCATCTTCAATAAATCAAGTAACTATCTCATTATTAGATGCTAGGTAGAGAAATTTTAACTTACCTTTGACCATTACCTATTGTAGTTGTTTGCAGTGAAATGCAATTTATTAATGTAATCCTATACTTTTACTTGAGAAATACTAAACATGTTAGTTATATCTTGAGGATTAAGTTTTGTAGCAATTAAAATTTTAAACAATGATCAAGAAGTTATTTAAACTATCCAGTTTGTTACTTTTTATGATGGTTACTTGATGTGTACGTAAAAATTCAATTATAACATGTTTGAATGATGGGTTTTATATTTGTCTAAACTCAAGTTCTATTAATGGAACCATTGACTTCAATTAACAAAATGTGTTACATGGTTTATTCAATAGGAAAGTAACAATGTTGCAATACTTCCTAAATATGATAATAGTGTTAACACCAAAGAAGTCATTACTCTAATTAATGCTTATGATTCAAAAAAGCCACAAGATCGTGGTAGAAGTTCTACATCAACTAGTTACAATTGTTAATAGGTTTTCAATGAATTTTTGTTTATGACAACTCTATTCAACTTTTGTGGAGGATTAGCAAGACTTCTCCTACAAGCTATATTTAAACTTACACCTTAAAGTAGGAAAAATAATAATATCCATCAATGTCATTAATATTTTAAAACTAATATCATTTTAAAATATAGGGAAAAATTGGATGATGGCAAAAAAGTTGCAATCAAAAGGCTTTCTTGGAGTTATGGACAAGGAATGAAAGAATTTAAAAATGAAGTTACATTATGTGTCAAACTTCAACATCAAAATATTTTCAAAGTTGTCGGTTGTTGTATTGAAAAAGATATGAAAATGCTAGTATATGAGTACATGAAAATGCTAATTTTATGAAAATTTGAAGAAAACATGTATTCTATATGAAGCTTTGTGGTGCATTTAAATAGATCTTTTATGTATACAATATCATCCAAATGATTGATCTGAAATGCCATTTATGCTTGTGATATTGAAAAGTAATAATATCTTACCTCTACCACAAGAGCCGTGTTATTTATTTAAAATAAAATCAATAGATAGAGAACTTCCCTCTTGTGAAATAGAATCATCATCTTCAACAAATCAAGTCATCGTCTCACTATTAGATGTAAGGTAGAGAAATCCTTTGATGTTATGCAAAATTATACCACTTATGATTTATATATTCATTTACCATTAACTATTGTAATTGTCTGTAGTGTAATTATGTTCCAGTTAACCTCAACTCCGCATCCCTGTGACAATAAGGTATTGTCCATTTTATGTGTGCTAACCCTCATGGCTCTTGTTGAATTGAAAATTATGTGTGTTGTATATAAAATCCAGTTAGACTCGATTCCCAAGAAATACGGGACTATTTTGGAAAACCTACAACAATTCCCTTATTCAAGGCTAAAGGGCATTGTGTGAACTTCGAGTTTCCACAGATGAAGCCAATATGATGGTGAACCTCATGTCTGCACCACTGTATCTACAAATTATTGTCTTTTGTGGGTGTGAGAAACCTCATGGATTTGTCATTTATAAAAGACACATCTTTCATTTGAGGAGTATGAGCGTTGTATATAAACATTCCTTAGCCCCAATCCCTAATAAATGCAGGATTACTTTGGACAACTCAGAATAGTTGCCCCTAGTCGTGACTAAGGGGCATGGTGCAAAATTCAAGTTTCCACAGACGGTGTCACAACTTTATTATTGAACCAAAAATAATTGACGAAGTGGTGAGATAAGGTCTTGAAGAGATGGATCAAACTCTGGTGCAGCGGTGCGGGGATGGAGCTCTAAGGTTAGCACTTTAACGCTCATATAAATGAGAGAATGAGTAGTTAAGTGAGGGTGGACATGGATTTAAATACCTAAAATGACACATTGATTTGGTCTATGGATTGTTTCAAAATTTATAGGTTGCATTGGCCTATAAACAAAGGACTTTCCTGTCACATTTCACATCTAGAAAATGAGCTTTAATCTCACTTTCATTTCTCTCATAATTTTTACTAAATCTCTCATTTTTCTCATATATATTTATCTACAGTGCTTCGAGAGTATTCTTGAGTATATGTGAGGATCTATGTTTCGAGTAGGACTTAAATTTAACTTACCAAGAGTGTATTATCTCTTGAGTAAATATTTATTTCATAAGAAGTTATTTTTCTTTTGAGTTAAACTAGTTAAAAACTCTTGTTTGGTTGGAGGATTGTCCATGGATGTCTCCGCTTGATTCATAAGTTTTGTCAAGAAGAAAATCTCTCTTTAGATTTGTGAAGATCAACCATTAAAATCTGTAGAACGGTTTTGAGTTCAACCCAGTAAAAGCTCTATTGGTCAAGATGAGCCCGAGTAATATCTCAATCAGTAACTGAGTTCAGTCTTGTAAACCCTCATCCGGTTCAAGATTATTCAGTATAAAATATCTCCTTGGTTTATGGTCAGTCTGTTTAAATACTAATCATCTTAGAAAGAATATGTCTTCCTATACTTCTTCTAACAAGAGGACATTCCTAAACACACCTCCATTATTTAATGGTGATATGTTTGAATTGTTAAAATCTAGAATTAAAAATTTCATTCAAATTATTAATATTGAGTTATGGGAAAGAATAACCAATGGTCAGTTTATCCCTACTCGCTATGTTAATTGTGAAGTAATAGATAAATCTGATTTCCTCTGGACCAAAGAAGACAAGAGAAATTCTAAATTTGATTTTAAAGATAAAAACTTTTTGGTTATGTATTTAAGTGAAAATAAATTTATTTATGTCCTTAAATGTAACCATACAAGACAAATGTGGGACACTCTATAAATGATTTATGATGTAGATTATTTGAAGAAGTCAAATTTATAAGAATTTAAATTTCAAATTTTATGCACTCGAATCGATTAGACCGAATGGTATAATCAATTATTGCATTGGTAATGATCTTAACAACTACCTCTCAACTGCCAACCTTGCGCATTTAATGAAATTATTGATTATGAAGGATTTCTAATTGATTATGCTGAGTATATTTAAAGGTATTCTTCTTCCTCTCTTTTCATCCCATTTTACCTTGTTCTCTTGTGTGCTTAGTTGAGTATTTTAGAGTAAAAATATTCTCTTTCTCTTCATCATCATCAATGACACTAAAAATATCTCGCACATCCGGAGGCTCCACCTCTTACCACTCAGATCTATTCTCTTCCGAAGATCAAGAAAACTCACTACTAAAAATAACATTTTTATGACGAAGTTTACACCTCGAATAATTAAAAAACCAGGGTATAGGTCCTGAGAACGTCATGATTTTTTATTTATTTTTAAATAAATAACTTTTTCTGTCAGTGTTTAAGAAAATCGAGGGAACATAGGCATAATTATAAGGGAGCTCGCTTCGACACCTAGTTGTTGCATTTTATGTTTTTTTAATTGTTTAATTAGTATTTCTCACTTGAAGTCTTTCCAAATTCTTTTTTTATTTTTTATTAGTATTTACCTTGGCTACATGGTCCAACTGAGAGGTAATATAGTTTGCATTAACAATTCCAAAATACTATTTTCAAATCTTATTTTAATTTTTTATTTGATATATTTAAAACCCTTGGTTTTTGACAAAAATCGACGTGATATATTTTTTAAATGAATTACCATAATATAGAGCTATTGTGTTTTTTTATATTTTATATTTTTAATTAATAATATCACGTCGGTTTTTATGTAAAACCGGCATGACACTTATTTTGCATGAAATACTTCAGACTATTATCTAGTTTCTAACTTCTCATTTACCTATCAACGCTAAAACCTCATTTCGTCCCTCTCATTTTGCAACAAAAAAAAAACCCTAGGCAAGGCGATTTTCATCGTTGCAAAAAATCTTCAAGCTGAAACGTCATCTAAACTTTTCCAATAGATATTTATCAAACGTCATTTCGTCAACAGATATTCCTTTTTTACAACAGGTTTGTTCTTCACTGAAGAAATTTATATATCACTTTGTTTTTCACTGAAATAGTCTCTTGATCATTTTGTTTTGGATTTTTGCGTTAGTTTGTCTATTGATCACTTTGTTTTTACTATTGATTCAGGTTAGTCTCTTAATAGTCATGGTGATTTGATAAGCACCTCCCTTACAACATCAGCTGCAACCTTTGTTAATAAAAATATGTAAAAGAAAAACTAGAGGTTCCACGATGTATATCAAGGTGAAAAAAGCCCACGAAACTTGTGTTCGTTACCCGGTTAGAGTTGATATACAAACCGACAGAGCTTCTGGTGAACATGCTGATGATTTTATGGGTTACATTGTGTAGAAAGATAGAAATAAAGTGATTATTTTGATAGATAGTTGGCACGGCGTTGATGATTATTTGAAATGAGACATATGGACCGATATTACAGTATTTATTTTGAATTTTATGATTTGTTTTACAAGTATATTTTTTTTGTTTAATACTAATAACATGTTTATTGTGTAAATATAGGATGTATTCATTGTTAGTCCAGATGATAAGAACGTGAAAAAGTAAATGCTTGCAAATTATGGTGAGTGTTGGAGGGGCTTTGAGACACAGCTCACCCATGATTATATTAAATATGGAGAAGATAAGGAACTGCCTACATAGGAGGTGTATTCATATATTGATCAAGATGTTTGGGAGAAATTTCTAGAGTCTCACACCACTACTACCTTCTTGGTAAATAGCCAATAAGGAAAGGAAAATCGAGCTAGAAATAGCTATCCATATAGACTGGCTCGTGGAGGATATCAAATACATGAAAAAATGTTGATTGAAGAAAAAAGAAAATAAATGGAGGAAGAGTTGGGAGGTTCTATAAGTCTTGATCACACTTCATCTTTACCATCACAATGGAATACGACACACTAAAGAAAAGACTATGATTTCACATCAAATGCTACGCATAAAATGACTCAAAGGATTGTAAGTATATATTTTTTCAACAATATTTATTTTAGTTAAATCAATTTGGTAAAGATGAAATTTCATATGTGTTTGTAGGATGATCCGGT